CATCCTGCACATGACAAATAGTAAACAGTATCAAATTTTCAATGACCTCCAAGTACATTTCATAAACATTTCAGAAGGTTATATGGCCCAAAAAGACAGGGGGAATGCAAAAGAAACGATGAAGCATATTTCTTACCAATGAATCCCATAAATACCACGAAATTCCAGCGAATACAAGTCCCACGAAGAAGAAGACAAAAAATCGAACTAAGGAAACTTCATAACTGTAAAAGCCAAACCGATAATGAAGACCGCGGGAAAGCTGGTTCGCTACCTCACCAGAAGTGGAAGACAACACCAATCAGTAATTCAAAAAGCCAGCAACAAAAAACCCGGCAAAGACACAGCAACCTGTAGTAAGCCGTTCTGCTTCTATAATTTGTGCCGCATGCCAAAAAAACTAAAATCCTTATCTTGGATTGAATTAACTAGGTCGCCAACCACTTCATATTACTTTATTAATTTTAAAAGTCTTTGTTACTTCACCAGGGATTACCGACGCCTGTTGTTTTTAAAGAACAAATAAAGATTCCGAGGCGCAAACTAACACTTCTGCAAATTTCGATGCCACTTCAGTATTTAGATTTACGTTTTTTCCTCAATCTGGTTTTCTGCCTTCCTTCTCGCTGGATTCGTAATTGCTTAGACAACTATTTTGGAAGACAAAACATAACATGAATTACGCTTGCCAAGACGGTTAAACTGTTAATTTGTAAATGGTCAGTCAGATTATTCAAAGTTAATAATAAACGTAGAAAAAGAGAACAAGCTGAAATCAGTTTCTTGAATGAAAAAAACTGACTATCCTCGCTGTTTTGGGACAGGCTAAAAACAAAGACGACCTCACAGAAGGCTCGTCACTACTTTAACAAAGTCAGCAGTTAAGCACACAAATTTCAAACAAGAATTCCAAATGAACCTTTTTAAAAATGCGAAGAGCTACACATTTCTTTTTTTGACATAAATAAAAAAAGAATTTTGAACGCATTCTGGGTAAAAAACGAAGTACTTAAATCGGATTTGTAAGAAGAGCACTTCCGAGTTTTACGGATACTGATGATAATTATCCGTAGTACTTTCTTCCTTTCCACCATACTTCATGTCGTCAAACAAACTTTGCTTAATTTTTGAAATCTCACTAGCCTCTTCCTGAAAACTGCATCTGAAAACGAAAAACAGAAAAAAAACGAAATCGTTAACTATAACAACAACCAAGTAGTCCCCACAATTCTTGAGAATTTTTAGAAACAGTTCTGCTACAGGATCAAAAACAACAAATTAAAACAGAACTGCTGGTAGTTAATGCAGCACACAAATGAAAAAAGAAACGCAGTGTGAAAAAGGTATACTGTCTTGATGCCAAAAAGTCAAGGAATACCACAATCCACTTAGTAAACAGATACCTGCCCAGAGACAGCATTTCCTCCCTGTGAGATGGGAGGACCACCTTGTCCGCCGGTAGAACCACCGCTCTGCGAATGGACTGAACCAGGACCACCAACCCCAGCACCAGCAACTGAACCAGGTCCACCAACCGCAGCTTGACTTCCTAAAAAAAAGCTAGTAGCGAGACTGCTCCGAAGGAAAACGCCTAGTCTCTTTAACCAAAAGCATCCGTACCGGGTCCTCCGGTCGCACTAGGTGTGCCACAACTAATTCCCCCATGAGTAGAAGCGGGCGAATGTTTCATTTCATCCCCATTCAATAAAGACGTCATCTGCGGGTCGGAAGTTGAGCAAGGCGGACCTGCTGATCCTCGCCCGCCAGCTCCAGGTGTCATACTGCCTTCTGGATGCATATACTGCAAAAAAGTCATAAAAATGAATCAAAACCTGGATGCAAAATACAACGCTCAAGCAATGCTCTGCAATATTAGAGAAACTAACTACCAGTAAGGTTTTAAACTGATACCTGCATACTAGATGCTGAAGACATCATCATGTAGCTTCTTGGATCCTGACTTTCAGGTCCTGATTGCATTGGGCCACCAGGGCCTGGGGACGACATCATTGACGCTGCTGAAGACGAGCACATTGCTCCATTCGGCATCATAGTGTTCTGAAACAAATTCAAAAAACATTCAGACAAGACCCATAAGCTACAAAGCCTCTAACTTCCTCTGTACATCTACTTTTGA